GTGGCATCTGTGACTTTATATAAATGTTTCCCAGATACTAAATTTTTAACCTGATAAAACCAGAGAAAACAAAAAAAGATTTTTAAATATAACAATGTCTCATTTATCTAGTATCTGATAGGAGTAAATACAAACATTTTTAAACAATTTTAAATTGTTTTAAAGACAATTTCAATCCATTTTGCCTTTTTACTTTATAAGAAGTAAGTGAGCTTAGAAGAGATTTGGTTCAAATCTGGTTCAATTCCATTTTGGAGACAGTAGCAATGAAGTCCAGAGTTTAAAGGCATTTGTTGGTTTTCTGGATACAAAAGCTTCACATATTAGTTTTATATACTCTCCTACAAATATATTAAATTTTATCGTCTAAAATACATACATTACCAGAGTAGTCATGGCATTTAAATGAAATTCTCATGAGGGGAAAGAAATGCAATATAGTCAACTACTCAACCTTTTCCAAAGAGAGCTAAGCTATGGCCATTTTCTAAAAACAAAAGTTATGTTTCAGAGTCTCCAGGGACAAAGAGAATCATGGTGTCCTGGGGCTCTGGATCCTGAGTCTTTCTCTTACCAGCCAAGTAATACTGAGCAAGATATGTACTCCCCTCGCCACACTTTGCTTTCTTATGTGTAGAAATGGGAATGAAACCTGCCTTGCACTGTGGTTGTCAGGATTAAGTTACTCGTGTGATGACAGTGCCAAGTCCCATGCCTGATGCACACACAGAGGGATCTACAGATAATTACATTTTCTTTCTATCACATTCTGAAACATCAGACGGGATTGAAAAGTATGTGAAATCCAAATACCTTGAATACAAAAATACCAGAGAAACAAAAGGGTGAGCTAACAATCCATTCTGCCAACTGAAGAACCGCTGGGCAGAATGAATAAAATAAACTGAGACAATTAACATACTCTCTAACACTCTGAGAACTCAAATAATGGAATTAGCAGTTTATTGGGTAACGCTAAAAAAAATAGTTATTAATCTACTCCTTTTATAGGTCACAAATGCCTGTAACATTAATTAAGCAGTAACTACGTGTTAGGTTCTGAACTAAGTACTTTAGAAGGATTATATTATTTAATCTTCACTAGCAATTGGCAGAGCCAGGATTTGAACCCAATAATCTGATGCCAGAGCCCTGATCATCCTGGTATCTGTCTACCTATTACTAAAACATGTGGGTTTAAAAACTTCATGGTAAATTTCCTTTGCTCAGAATAACCAACAACAATTCTTAACCTCCCATTAATTTTCTTAGCAACATGAAATATAGCCCATTTTGATAAAGAATTAAGACATTTTCCAGATGAAAGGCTCATAATCACCTATTATACAAAATATTCAGACCATATTAAATCTGAATCTGAATCACAATATGAATCTAAATTATTGTTATCAAACAAATTCCAGTCTTGATAATATTTGAGTATCTGTTATACTTACATAGAATATATACTTTGTACACAGTAAGAACTCAACAAATATTTACTGATTAGCTATTTTTACAGCAGATAAAGCATCAAATTATAATGTACAAAGGTTTTCCATTGTCAAAATATTCATTTTGTCAGTAACCATAGCTATAAGCTTTCTCTTGGAGTGAAGAAGTCTGTCTGGGTTATGGACAATTCAAATGTTTGCAGTGCAATAGTCAAGGCCCAGAAGAGAAGCAAGATGACTCTCAGTTATTTGGAAAGAAAACAACAAAGATGCCTAACAACACAGTGGGTAGCCATCCGACCATACTCTCTTTCTGCAAATTCTCTTGCTGCCTCCTACAAAGGGAAGGCTTCCTCCAACTAAAAAGGTGCCTGGTATCTTTCGTCGTCTGTCATTATGTAAAATTATTAAAAATTTCTATTGGTACATGAAAAAACTTACCTTCATTGAGGCTATATATTTCAGTGGGCCTTTCTAGTCATTTAATGATGAAACAATTTAAAAAATATAAGTATTCCTGAAACTGCTCAATACAGAAACTTGCATCATTATAATCTTACGTCTGGCCTCTAGAAATTTTATACAAAGTCAGATTTGAGTTCAAAGTCTTAAAAGTGGAGTTAAAATATGTAAAAGTTTTTGTAAGGTTGGTCTGTGTGTGTGTGTTTTTAAAGAAAGTATAATTGCTTAACCAGATACTCTTGTTTTTCTAATTAGAATACAAGTAAAACCAGATCACAATCCAGAAAAGCTTGCTTTACCACAAACATGTCAAATCTGTACTGGACCACAAGGAATAGAGCAGTAAAATCTGTTCCTAATACATGTTACAGTTTCAATAATAATGTGTAGAATTCTCATGAAATTTTAGTCTAGAAAAATCTCCATTCTGAGGTAATGCCACAATCTTGTATCTGATTTATTGTTCCTCTGGCAGATTCTGTCAGCACCATGAGCCACACTAAGTGCTTACTCTGGGTAGTTAGATTTATGAAGGAAAAAACAAAACAGAACAAAAAACCTTGTTTGCTGAGAATAAAAAGTGAAAGAAAGAAAAAAAAAAGAACCCTTATCATTTCTCCAGTATACCAGTAAACAATTGCTAAAAGGGACAGGAGCAGGTGATTATTATGTGAATAAAAGATGACTAATTATATGTCAATTTTATCATTTCACCAACAGTATCTATCATAATTTTAAAAGATTATAGTGAATAAGTGGGTCATTAACTTGGAACACTCTAAAAACCCAACAGTAAAGATTATTAAACAACCCGTAATATTCCAGTCAAGTGAAACATTCTTAATGAAGACCAACATTTGTTACTTATTAATTAGCTAGATAGAAAATATTTTTAAATTCAGGAATTCAAATAGAAACTTTACATTAATTTAAAAAGTCTGATACCATTAGTTTGGATCCAGCTCACCCCTTATTATAAACAAGTACTGAAGTAGAAAACTGAGAGTCAGTGGCTAAAAGCCTAAACAATCAAAAATGGGTAACTGGATTATAAATAACTAAAATATATATTTTCTTCACAAATCTAAACCCAGACTTTACAAAGGCACATCTATTCCCCATAATTCAGTATCTACTTCTACATAGTCTTATAAACAAAAGACTTATACAAGTGTAAGATATCAATCTTTTACATTCCAAAATATTCCATCTATATGCAAACTGACATGTTAATTACACATTGCCTTACCAACTCAGAAGCTGATGGCCCATACTGCTTCATATATGGATACTCCGTATTTAGATTTAATTGCATGTATCTGAAAGTAATGAATTAAAACACAATTTCCTATGTATACTTTTCAGTGACTTTGATTGTCCTCCAATTTAAAAATCACTGACACTACTGAACGAAATTAAGTTCCATAAGATGGTAACTTGGGTACAAATGAATCCTCATTTCCCAGTGATCACCGAGATGGCCAAGGAAATATAAAGGAAACCTTTATTAATACTATAACCTCGGGAAGGGTATCAGAGACACCATACACTCCAAACCTCCAGGGGTTTCTATAACACATAGTAGATGAAGACTCATCAGAGGGAAGGGCAAATCTACCAAACTTACTGAATGTAAAAGAACAATTCATCTTTCTGGGAGACATAACATCTAATAGAAAGCACAAAGAATGGGCTTAAAAAGTAAGAAGTTAAGTGCAAAGCATACAATTCCTCAAGAGCCTTTGGAAATTGAGAGACATAACAAAGATTTAACCCAGCCATTCATTATGTAGGAATTTACACTAAAGAGAAAATTGGACAAATCTGCAAAGATGTATGTTTTATGATAATCACCATAATTAATAATAATTAATTAACAATGGTAAGAACTGTAAATAATCTAAGTGTCCATTTGTAAGAAACTGGCATATGATTTTACCAAAATAACAAAGTATTACACATATGTAAATTTTCACTGACATAGAATGTGCTCCATAACATATTGTTGAAGGAAAAAAACACAGATTTAAAATAACATGCATATTATGAATACATAAACAGAGAGCTGCAAAAATTATCACCAAAATACAAATGGGAGTTGCCTCTGGGCTGGATGTTTGATAATTTTTACTTACTTTTTATAGTTATTAGTATTACCTAAATTTTCTAAATAAATGTATACTGTCTTTGTAATCAGGGAAAAATTCTCTTCATGTTGGAAAAAGAAAATATATTTTTTAACACTACAATTTCATTTGGGAGAAATTATCTTAAGAAAATAATTGGAAAAATCCATTGAGATAGATTCAAAGATGTTTATAACAGCACTGTTTATAATCGTAAAATAGTAAAAATAGTAAAATATTAGCAATAACCTAAATGATCAATAGTTAATATGTTAAATAAATTTTAGAATAAATACATAATGGTTTACTACAAAGCCATTAAAAATTATGAGAAAGATGTAAACATTACTAGCTTAGTGACCTTACAAACAGTACATATCTTCTAGGTATGTTTCCTCATCTGTAAAATGGGGATAAAAAGAACACTTATCTCATAGTGCTTCACTTAGCTTATTAGCTACATCCTATTGTGACAAGAAATGAAAAACCTGATGCTTATGAGCTTCCTCTGATACCACAAACCCCTATTTCAAAACCTACTTTGTTATATGATTTTAAAAAAAATCCCTCAATATCAACATTCAATTTGGCTATCAATCAAGTTAAGAAAATATGAATCTAAGGCCACAACGGCAATGAATATCAAAGTTGAAAATAGGGAATTCCTGTAACTTCTAGCCTATTTTTTAAAAAATTCTATACATATCCTCAAACTAAGCTTGTTTATTCACCAATACATATAGAAAAAATAGTGCTGGAATATAGAAACAGGCTGATCTTGATACCTGTGGCATTAGACAGGCCCCAATGAGTCACCCAGATTACAGTGACACAGGGAATTGGCATCCCTGATAAACTGAACAACAAAACAATTTATATATACATACTAGTTAGCTTCATCAGTTTTACCATCATTGTACAAACATCTATTTTGTTGCTTTAAGGAGCTCAAACCAACCTGCCATGGTCTTCCCCAATCGAGTGGAATAGGAAAGGCTCCAAGCCATGTTCCTACAATACTAGAAATTGTAGTGATCTGGAGACTATTCTCCCAGATGGATGTAGCCCTGTAAAACACAAATACGTAAACCATTGGTGGTATATATCTTAGCTGCTGGGGAATCAAACAAACAGCACAAATTATCACTATTCATACATATATGTTCTGTTCATTTAAAATAAGTGTCTCAAGTTGACATACCAATATTTGCCATGAATTATCAACGATTAATTGGTAAGAAGATATAACTGTTTTTCACCTGGAAAGGTAGTATGTGCACATAGTCAAAGTCAAACAATACGAAAGAGGGTTTGCAGTGAAAACTAAGTCTTCCTCCCATCTTAATCATCAACTCTGGTTCCTTTCCCCAAAAGCAACTGCTATTACCAACTTATTACATATCCTTCCAGAAATATTTTATGCATACACAAATAAACACAATTTTGTTTAGAATGATATATGCACATCTGCATATATGCATACATATATTATATATTCTGCAAAACAAAACTCAAATGCACCATCTTATAAACCCAGTTTAGCTGTTTTCCCTTGTTAACAGTTTTACTAGGATTCCATTGTATGAAGGAAGCATCGCTTATTCAACTAGCCCCTTATGGCACACTTCATTTAAGCAAATCAACTCTAGTTGGTGGGGAAGGAGCAGAGAATGAGAACAAAATATTTCAAAATATTTAGTGATTCTACCTACCATTCTTCTTTGTTAAGTACACATTTTAGAGTATAAGGGTGGAAAGACATAATTCTGCCAGTCTCTTAGTAAGTCTTGGTTTCAGCCTGCCCCCAATAGTGTGATCATTTAACCGCGTGGACCATGAGTCTAGTTACAGCAGAGTAAAATCCCACCACGATGCAATAACTGGAGTCCAAATATTTAGTGGTTTAGTTAGTTATTTAGTTATTACAAAGTTTATGAAAAGCAGTTTCTTCCTGCTGGTGTGGAAAAGGGGAAAATATTTGTTTTGTTAGTTTCTTTCATTAGAAATAGGTCAATCACATAAAATGTACACTGAATTAAAGCAATCCCGAACGACAAGTCAGTGCACAAACCAATCCCCAATGACCTGTCCATCTTATTACTTCTCATCCACAACCTACACAAGTTAAGAGCTTTAGCCTGTTTCTGTTGAAAACTGGGACTGGAAGAAAGTGGGAGGCAATCACCATACATCCACATTTGTGTTATTCGCTGGGCTTTATTGTTCTTCTTTTATTTTGTGTAACACTTAAAAATGCAAATCAATTTCTCAACTAGTGTTCAACAGAACAGAGATTAATCTGTTCTAATCTTGGAGGGAAAAAACTGGTGAGTTGAATGTAAAGAAAGAACTGTACTGCTCAGGCAACTTAAAGGATTTTCTAGGGTAATTTTTGACTTTATATGGCTGACAAATGTTGACTGCCTTTCACTTACACAACTTGTCTATGTTGCAATACATAAAGTTATGTGCCTGGAGACATAAGGTCTGGTAGAAGCTGAGAGCAGAGTTTACTTTCTGCTAGGAAGAGTTAACTTTTTCTAATTTATGAAAGAGGAGGAAGTTCAGCTGGATTTGGAAGAATGGGTAGTATTTGGTCTCAAAGAACTGGAGAAAGAGCTGCATTGTTGGTAGAAAGAACTTTATTAAAATTGGTTGAGGCCAAGTGGAAGAATGGAAAATAAGACTGGAAAAAGTAGGCTAGAGTTAGAATTTTTAAAAGTAACTTTATCAAAGACAGTAAAAACTTGCCACAGAAAACCCTTTTCAGCCATACAATTCACTTAAAGTGCACAATTCAATGTTTTTAGTGTATTTACAGTTATGCAACCATCACCCCACAATGAAGCCCTTTATCCATTAGTAGTCACTCCCAATTTCCCCTTCCCTCTAGACCTAGGCAACCACCAGTCTACCTTCTGTCTCTATGGATTTGCCTATTCTGAACATTTCAAATAAATGAATCAATGTATGGCCTTCTGTGACTCATTTCTTCCACTTACCATGTTTCCAAGGTTCATCCATTTTGTAGCATGTAAAAACATTTCATTCTTTTTTATTGCCGAATAATATTTTGTTATACGGATATATCACATTTTATTTTTTCCAAACATCAGTTGATGGACACTTGGCTTGTTTTGACTTTTTGGCTATTACACATAATGCTACTATAAACATTCATGTACAAGTTTTGTGTGAACATATGTTCTCATTTTTCTTGGAGATATACTAAGGAACGGACTTGCTAGTAATTCTATGCGTAATCTTCTGAGTTTTGAGTAACTGCCACACTGTTCTCCAAGGCAGCTGAGCTATTTTATATTCCCATCAGCAGTATATGAGGGTTCCAATTTCCACATCCTTGCTAACACTTATTAATGATTATAGCCATCTTAGTGGGTAGTGAAGTGGTATCTCATTGTGGCAGATTTAGTGTTAGGATTTCAGAAAAGCCTTGAAGGTCAAACTTAAAGAAGTCCCTGAAGATTTCAAATCAAGGCAGCAATATGATCAGAGCTTAGTTTCAATAACATTTATGTATGTATTGTCTAAGTCCTAAGCTCCAAGTTCCTTGGGCTAAGGGGCAAGATCCATATCTTCACATCTTTCATCATTATACCACACTTGTGGCCATCTTATATTTGTTAAAGTAAGTGCAAATATCCAAGAGGTTGTCCTCTATTCTGTTTGTTTGGTACATTAAGAGCGTTTATGATCTTACATATAATAAGTACAGAAACAAATGGAGCCAAGATCTAGTTTAAAATTAGAAAAATTCTGTAGCTTGTCTTTTTAAAATTAAAAATTTATATTTATTAAAATAATATATACAAGTGTCTTTAAAGTCAAAGATCACGGTTAGATTAATAAACCCTCCCTGCACTCCTCTGTACTCCTGATATCGGCTCCAGAGGCAGGCACTTTCAACTCTTCCTGCGTCTTCTATGTACTTGAAATTTAAAAGAACATACATTATGCATAGATTTTCAAGATTTAGTTACTTTCTGCTTTCTACAATGGAAGAAGAGGATTTAGAACTCTTTACCCACAAGCCTTCCATCCCCACACACACATTTCTCTGTGACTCATCTTCCTCTTTGACGGTAATATCTCCTCTTCTCAGCTGGATCAATAGCACAGTGTCCACATTATGATGATTATGGAAATATTCATCACAGCTGAAAGCACACTGCAAACCATAATTACATTCCTTTCTTAGAGTAAATTTTAAATTTTCTTTGGATGTTAAGAATGCCTCTTTTTCACCCGCCATTTGCTTACGTTCCTGTCACTAAGTCATCCTCAAATATTCCAAAGAAAACACACATCACCTCTAAATACTTGTTTGTGCTCCCCGCCTCTCTCTGTTCTCTTTCTTTTGTGGAGACACCTCACCTGCTCCAAACTGAACCGGTTGTTCTCTAAGCCTGAGGCACAGCTGCTGTCCTGTGAGTTCCCTACACCATCTTGTGAATTCCCTTTGCCTCTCTCAGTGCTTTGGGAACTCCTGTTCCCTGAATTCTAAGACTTCCTCCTTCTGTTTTCCCTTTCCTTTTTTTTTTTTTTTCTTTTTTTAAAGCACCTCCTTTAATAGATTCCTGAGAAAGGGTACATGGAAAATAGATTTTAGAGATGTTTAAAGTGTGAAGATGACTTTACTATAACTGTTGGAAACCAATTTGTCTCAGAATGTTGAAGGCATTGCTCTATTGTTTTCTGATTCCCACCTGAGAAGTTCAGAGCCATTCTGGCTCCCAGTTCTTTTTTTTTTTTTTAATCTAATTTTATTTCTGCATAGAAGATATGTTGGGGTCTTTTTATGTTGACTGTTTAGAGTTCACTGTACACAAGTAGCATGATTCAACTTTACCAGGAATTTCACAGGAACCCAGCCTTTTAGAGAAATCTCAAAAGTCATTATCTGAGGGTATTCTTGTACCATTTTTCCCAGAAAGAAATCATTTCAATATTCTGCCTGGATGGTATAAGCCTGGCTGTCAGTGCACTGGGCCCAGTGGGTGAAAAGGACCAGGTACAAGGTGAAGACTCATTGTTCAATATGCAGAATTTCATTTAAGCCTTATTTCCTGAAGAGGTTGTAGCAAATAGGCTCAGGATCTGGGGGTAGCCAGAGTGGTTGGGGGTACATCTTCCCTTTCTCCATCTTCCCTTCCCCCACTATAACTTCCATTACTATAATATTTTTATAGCATTTATATTCTGTTCTGAATCCAATTCATTCAATTATTTTTTGATACAGTGAGCCCCCTTGTATACAAATTGAATAATTCCTTCATCTGGAGAAAGTGTCTTCTGTCATATCTTTGAATTATTTTTTGTTTTGTATTTTAGGGGTACTAACTCGTCTTAAGTTGATCTCCTTTGTCTGTTCTCTATATTTATGTTTCTTTTCCAATTGCTTTACTCTTCCCAACCCCCCTTAGCCTTCATTCATTTTGATTAGCTGAAACCTTTTCTCCATGCTACAACTTGATTTTCTAATTTATCTATGTTTCTAATTTATGATCTGTAATAGTGTGATCTGGATTCTCAATTTATTTCATTAATTCTGCAATTTCCTTCTCCACCTCATTTTCTTTCATTATCTCATCTTTGAGTTTGTATCTTATTGAATTCATCTCCTTAATAACATCTTTTCTGTGATAAATTGCATGGAGGTTTTTTGTTTGTTTTTGCTCCTTGGGTAGCTTTTTCTTTCAGGCTGGATTCCTTATCTTCTATGACTTTTTCTTCTTCTACAGTGTGTTTTTAGGGGTTACCATGCCATTTCTTTTCATCTTGCCCACACTTCACATGGTTAGGCTGTCCAAACTACCTATTTGCTCAGATAAAATAAGTGAATTATCTTTGGAGCTGTCTTCCCATCTTAACCAACACCAATTTTTCCTGTCTGGAAGCTGCATTTTGAGGACTGGCTGTTATTTTCTATCAAATTTCCTGTGACATGAGGCAGAAGGAGAGAATAGAGGCAGATAGCTAGGGTAAGGGAAATGCTATCTTTGTGATTTAATCAGTAATATTCAGCTGAAATTTAATAAATGGTGGTTCCATAAATTAAACTTTAAAAAACTTCTGACTAGGGCTTATGCATCCCATTAGAAATCAGATTAAACTACTATAGCACAGTCTGCCTCCTTGGCAGAGTCCAGTAGGCAGCAGCCCTGGTAGGCTGATAAAAAGTATAAACAGCACTGATGGGGATTTGGGGAAACTGGCACTGTGTTGAGTGTGTGTGTGTGTGTGATATATATATATATATATATATATATATATATATAAAACATACATATATTTCAAATTAGAACTTTAGTTTGGCAATGTTTATCAACTTTTTTTGACTTAGGAATTCTACTCCAGAAATCTGGTATACAGAACTCCCTGCACAAGCATACAAAATTATAAGGTACAAAGATGTTCATAACATTATTTATAATCATGAAGATCTGATAATAACCCTCAATAGGAAATTAGTTAATAAATCGTGGTACACGGAATACTTATAATGATGGCTAACTGCCCAACATTCATCTCATCTCTGATGATTAGACTAATTAAATCATGCCGATCCCATTCTCTCTCCCAGTGACTAGTTTAGGAAGACTGAAGGAAGAGAAGCTGCTGCCATCTCGGTACCAGCCTGAGGATAAGAACCAGGAGAACCAGTAAGAAGTACAGCCACAACTTGACTGTCTGTATCTAGAACCACACAACCTCTATTGTGTGAGATCATCAATTTCCTTATTGCTCAACCCAGTATAAGCTGAAGTCTTCCATTACTTATAGATGAAGATAAAATAAGGATACTATGCAAGGAGAGGTAGATTATACACACATACAATGAAAGACATTCCCAATAAGTGAAAAAAAAAAGCAAGTTATAAAGCAGTGACTAGTATAACCATTTTTGTTTTTAAACTACATATGTTTTTGCACAGATAAAATTAGAATATATAAAATCTGATGGTAATGGCTGCTCTTTACATAGCATTCTTCAATATTTTTCTATTACTTGAATTTTTATAATACATATTCTTTTGGAATAAACAAAAAAAATCCTTTTTATTCACTGATTTATAGCAGCACTGACTGACATATTCTCATTTTATAAATTGCCATAATAAAACCATCTGAATTCTATAGTTAACGGCTAATTTCTTCATAGTTAAGGAATGTACACATAATCAAGAGGATTGAAAATAGAGTAAACAGTTCACTATTCTGTGAACAAACTTAAAAGTGACCAAAGCAACATTACAGATAATCTTCATGACAATGAGTTCTAAGTAACTATCTACACTATTTGACTCCACTGAAATTCATTATATCAAATCTTAATTGAAATAAATAGACCATTTTGAATGCCTACTATCTCTGTGTCAGACACTGTATCAGGTACCTGAGACAGTTTTCAGTAAACATTATGACTCAGCTAGGCAGTGCTTATTTAGATGGAGCTGATCTTTTTAGCTGTTGATCTCTTCATCTAAAAAAGAGACACCAAATAACTCCTCCTAGTGGCTAAAGATATTTTGCAGAATTCTTATATAAACTTTTCCCTTTACCCACTGAATAAATATTAAAACGAATGCCTCTTGGCCACTAAATTTTTGTGCTCTCATTAAGGCTAAATTACCTAATTTTTATATGTATAAATTTTTGGTCATTCACCATCCTTCTACTCTTAATGTCCGCAGTGCTTTTTTCAATATAAAATCCATTTCAATACAAAGATGGCAAAAAGCGGCCTGCTATCTTTGCTACACAAATAGGTCATACAGGCTGTCTTCACTTTGGCAAGATAACTATAGATTCAGGAAACTATTGAGGAATTCAGTTTTTTTCATTTCACTAAAAGTGATCAGGTTCTCACTTAAACATCAAACAATAGCATAAAATAACTGATAAATAAAAAAGCAAACTTCAATGAAAACTGTAGGACTAAGGTAGTCAGATTATCATCTGCATTCATAAGAAAGTCAACAAATGGGAGAAAGAAACCCCACGATAATTATAACACCAAAGCAACAAATTGAAGTAAACTAGTACAAATTGAGTATATTCAGTAATAAAATACACCAAAAAGAAGTTGGCAGAATTTTTTAGAAAACTATATGACTTTTATACCTTCAAGTTTCTTTAAAATAGCCCTCTTTAAAAAAAAAATCTGGAATAATCTGTTATTAGAAATTTGAGAAGGATATTTTTGCAGTCTACTGAAGTTTAGGTGGCATCAGAGAAATCTAACAGCTTCCTGCTACAGGCCTAACTTGAAAAAGTTCTAAGTTTCAGGTATACAGCATTATAATTTGATATCTGTATGTATACATTACAGTGCTCAATAGGAACATGAAAAAGCGCTTGACCTCATTAGTCAGCAGGGAAATGCAAACAAAAACACAAAGAGGTAACACTTTACACCCATTAGGATGGCAATACTCAAATAGTCAGATAATAACAACTGTTGGTGAGGATGTAGGGGAATTGGAGCCCTCACATACTGCTGTGGACATGTAAAATGGTGCAGTCACACTGGAAAAGTCTTGGCAGTTCTTCAAATGATTAAACATGGAGTTACCATATGACCCAACAATTTCACTCCCTGGCATAGATTCAAGTGAAAAAAAAAAATATGTCCGCATAAAAACCCGAACACAAATGCTTATGGCAACTTATTCAAAACAGTAAAAAGTGAAAACAACCCTGATGTCCATTGATTGATGAATGGATAAACAAAATGTGGTACATGTCCACACTGAATTGTATGTTACAAAGGTGACGTGCACAGTATTTGAATTATATCTCAAGACTATTTAAAAAACCCATCTCCCAGCTATCTCAGTTCCCTTGGTGTGTATGAGCCACACCCTCCACTTCTGTCTTAACTTTCCAACAACTCTCATTTGCCACTTCATGATAACTTGCAAGAGGCAACCCTTCCCACATCTACTTCCAGAAGCAGATTTCAGGTTTTTTCCAAGGAAAAGTATCATATTTATTATAATATTTATGTATTTCTTAACCATTTAACATGTATTAAGCTGTCCTACTATTTTTTATTAAGTTCCTACCTTTTTAAATGTGTTACTGATGAAGGTTTTGAGTGTCATGGCCTAATCCCATCTTTCCCATAAGCTCTGTGTTTTCTATTGCCTGATTTTGCACAATGCAGGGATTTTTAGGAATGCACACACCATCTTATAGCAGAACTGACTATAGAATCAGATGACAGTATCTCCCCCAAATACACCATTAATGCTATCATCAGAAACAGAATTCAAAGCTGGATAAATCACCAATCCAAACCAATAAGGTTTCAACTGATTTTCACTGTTTAAAATTTTCAAACTAAATTCTAAAAGAAATTAATGCCATTCGGGATGCCATCGTAACAACGTGGGAAAAAAAAGTGTTTGACGATGATACTTTTGTTTTCAAGAGACCTGATGAACACCAGAAGATGGTTCTGAAGGGGAACAAACAGTATGCATTTCAAAAGGGAAAAGACAGTAATTTATGGAGCCTAGCTACCTGGCAAGCATCCTCTGCTCTACTTGGGCCGTTCTCTTCCAAATCACACAAGAATACTACATTCATTTCCATTTCTAAGGTTTCATTCATTCCCCTAGAACAGGTGTCTCCTCTTTCCCCTTAAGTCTCACCAAATCTCTTACTCCTGATCCTTCATAGGTCATCCCCTCCCTCAGCTCATTCTTCAGTGGTCTCCTCTTCAGTGGACCCTACTGAGTTCCTGAAACATTTACTGTCTGATTTACACAATTTTAGTCTTAGGTTGTTTGCTCATTTCATCCTTGTCCCTTGAATATCCAAGCTCCTCAGGGAGAGAATCACAGCTAGTACTTCAGACTCTACCCGGAGCTTGCACAACATAAAGCACAGAGTTAAGGGCTCAAGATGTTTCTGCTGCTGGGTGATAAATAGGACAAAATCATGTGCACCAAGTAATTTTCTAGTTTTCTGAGTTATGCCTCAACTATTTCTGATACAAGCAATTTCAATGCCTTTCAAGATGCTAAATTTTTACTTAGCCACGCTGAAAATATATACAGCTGCTAAGGGAATAAAATCCTGTAAAAATTTGCACTCGGATATCTCTCCATGAAAGATGCCAAACAAGAAATTATGGTTGTTACAGTAAACATTTTTGGATGGTGAACCCCAATTCTACATTTTAAGATGTATGGGAGCAATTTTATCTGTAGCAATTTTATCACAGTGATAAATTATCCCTGAGGTGTGGTTTTCAAAGCTTTCTTTTGGTAGCAGAAACCCTTTTCAAGCAAAAGGCTAAGTGGAATTCTACCATACAGAAAAAAAGCAAAGTTGACCTTGCTGAAGTGAAGGGAGGGGCCTATATTCCGCCTGCTTGGGTCCCCTCAAGTGCGTACCACCCTTTCCTGGCCCTGGTCCCCAGCTGCAGTGGGCCCTTTAGGCATCTCTGAGAACCATACAGTGCTGAGAAACACTCAAGGAACAATCAGCAAGCTGTCATGAGTAGAAAAGTACATCACTAGTTTTTTAAAATTTCAAACATTACTAGGATAGAAAATTAAAACTTACCCATTTCTACTGAAAACTCTTAGCCATGCTTTGAAGTTTGGTCCTAACAAACATAAACAAGGTACAGTAGTAAAAGTAGATAAAAGAACTGCAAGTGAAAATGTTTCCAACACCAACCTAGGGAAAAAGACACTGTATTAACTTTTTAAGTGTTAAAGGTGCATGTACACATTTTATTTAACTAGATTTAATATAAAAATATTTTCTTATACTTTGAAAGGTAATATGACTTCTATCAAAATGATAACTATAAAAAATGTTACTACTGAAATGCAAGCTATAAAAAATGATCTAGCAAATATCTGGTTTAACAATAGAGTTCAAAAGTGTTAAATGCCCTATGATTTACACAAAGACTGTCCATTGCAAGAAACGCTATTTCTCGATCACTAACTTTTTCCTCAATATTCTCTGGAACTTTCTCTGCAACCAGTGGTTCAAATTTAGGTTACATCAGAACCAGTTGGAGAGCTGGATAAACTGAAGGTTGGGGGAACCCTACGCCTGAAGTTTCTAAGTCCTAAGAATCTGCACTTTGATAAAACACTGATGCTGCCAGTTTTAGAACCCACTTTGAGAATCACTGCTCCAGACATTCATTCTACTTTAAAATGGATTGGACAGAAACTGCCACTTCCCATTACAAAGGTCTTGTCCTCCCCCTGTCTAGAAAATAATTACCTGTTAATTTAGTGTGTGCGTATGTAACCATGTATAAATATATATGTATGTGTGTGTATATATATATATAAAACTATACACATGGCTGTGTATCACATCACTCATTTTACCATGATTATTAACCACTTAAAGTTTCCCAAACTATAATGAATATCACATAAGACATATTCATGAATTTAGCTTTCATTAATTTAAAATTGTTCAGTTTTGAAAAGGTGTTCGCTTAAATTTTACCTTTAAACTAGAAACATTAGCTCATTACATAATTAAATACAAGAATCAACTCCCTTTCCTTAAGAAAACAAACTCTTTTCAAGCACTTCAGAATCTCATTTACTAGGAACTGATATGCTACTTATAACTAACTTATAGTCAATTTCCTTAGAGGTTCTAAGGGCCACACACTTATTGGCGTAGTAGTTTCTCATCTACCTCCCTCCTTTATGTAGTTGAGTAATAGAAGGCTAGGTATTAGGAGCATTTAATGAATTAAGTTATTCCACTGTCTCTTAAAAGAATAACACTGCCAAGGAAGGGCAATGATGTCAGTATCCTTCCATGATCCATTAATTAAACACATAGTGTTTTTTTCTCTAATCACCAACAGAATTAGCATTTGATTTAATAAATGACTGTTTTAAAATACAATTGCCTTAAGGTAAAAGTTTCAGACTTACTCTGTTAGTGGTGCTCCATATAGAACAAAAATTACATGAAAGGAGAAACAAGACATAAGAAAGTAGATATAGCATTTCAAAAGTCTAGTTACCTAAAAAAGAAATGAATAATTTAAAGAGTTAAGAGAATATCTAGTGAACAGCAAATGCTTTGATTTTGTCTACAAATAAAAGTTATTCCCATAATGCATAATATAGATGAATACTCTTGGGATTTGCTCCTGAAGTCAGATCACATATTCTTTGCACAGCCCTGTAAAAAAGCCTACAAGTATTAACCCCCATATCTCACACATCCAACCAACAGTAGAGTCAGAAAACGTTTCTGTTTCTATACTATATACTGAACTATGTTGTTAACCAGTATTTATGAAATATTTACCAATAACAGAGTGCTAGGATACAAACCCCCCCCAAACAGTTCTTATTTTGTAATAATACATGAAATACTTACAGAAAATAATGACTATAGTAATTTTTTAATTTTAAAACAAAACTTCTAGGAAAATTGGACCAAAAAAAAAAAAAGCACAATGTTAAATAATCTCCCAAATCATATTCATGTTACTATATGATCCATATGAAAAAAGACCTGCATGTCTGCAAATCATTACGTGGGACTTGATTTGGAGCTCAATAAGACCTAATTATAAAACACACGTTGAGCTTTTTAAATCACAGGGTAGCAAAAGTGTTTTAAATTACCTAATAGAATACAAGAGTACTGAATAATGTTAAGTGGGGACTTTATTAATTTAAAGTAAAAATCAAGTGTTACCCTGGAGTGAATATTCCAGAAAATAGATTCCAATTTCTGAAAACTTTACTGTTCAGTCAAGGAAGGCCACGTTTGAAACAAAAGCTAACAAGGAGGCTTATTTCATAATTTCTGAAAAACCCACTGTGTCTTTCAGAAATGCAAAAGATAAATGAAAATAAACTGAAATGTCTTATAAAATAAGATTTAAAGATGTGATTGTTACAAACATTCATCTTCAATGATAACAAAAAACATGACTATATACATTCACAATGCTATGATATCCAATTAATGCACGGCAAGACTCTATCACACATTGTAGGCAGTCTTCTAGCAAGCAATAGGCTACTGATTTGGGAGGTAAAAAATCAGGTCCTTTATTCACTGTAAATAACCCAATAAGTACTTGACTAACACTTTATTCTTCCAGTAAAAGAAATATCACGTATATATAAAAATCAGTTATCAAGAAATTAGCCTTACCTTGTACGATAATGAACTTCTTTTAGAAGATGTGTTTGGTTTCCCTACTAAATATAATATTAAATTGACGGCAGTTACAAAAACAGAACAGATGCACAACCATGTTAAGTGTGTTTCCAATATTGAGAAGTTCTCCAAGAAGAATGATGGAATGAAGATGCTTAGGATAATTGAAAATATGCATACAAGATGGGCATACAGTAGTCTCTTGATGTCAGTGTCTTTCATGGTGTTTTCTTGAGTGGCTTTCTAATGAAAAACAAATTAAGAAAAGAGCATAGGCAATAATGACTTTTTCCATTGTCCTAAATGCTCCAGTGTCTAAAAAGAGGCCATGAACCAAAGTCAATTTTCTATGGGCAATAATGTCTTAGTTTGGAATACAGGAAGATGCATATGTGTAAATACACATGTAGACTAACATGGTACAAACAGCTCTCAGAGCCTAAAAAAAGGACAAATCTACTAATTTCTTAAATATTTGTAACTAGTTTCTGCAAAACGGTCATGTGCTAGGTCTAATTAAGTAATTCATTTTTTTTCTTTTTTTCCCAAAATCAGAGGTGAAAAAAAAAAAACCCACATGGGTTAATGATTTGTCCTGTTGGTACTATAAGCTATGTATTCTAGAAACCCCATGAATACACTTTGGCTGAATTGTTGGCACTTTTTATCATGGTGGTCCCTTGTCTAACATCACAGTAGTTCACGTCTTCTAGCATACACCAAGTGATGCCAGGCGCACACTGGAATACTCAAATGGTGGCCAGTGTTATCAAGATCGTATAAAGAACATTATGCTAAACTAAAGGAGCCCAGTGCTTAAAACAACAACAACAACAACAACAACAACAACAAACACCAAAATGACAAGGTTACAGGTGCTAGAGTCCAAAAGTAGAGCATGAATAAAAGGAGGAAAAATATTTACTGTCTCTTTCTGTCCAAAACACGTATTTTATGTATGTATGTATTTATAAATTACCTAACAGAGAGCTTATACATAGTATTGACTGTTAAGTAAGGACCTTATTAAAGTAATAGTCCACATGTTATACTGTGGTGAACATTCCAGAAAAAAAGGTATATATTTTATAGCCACACACAGGGCTCCTACTAGAGCAAAAGGGCGAATCCAAGCCTTATCTTAACACTCTCGTTTAATTCACTCTATCCTTTTCAAAGGCAAATACTTTACCGATAAGCAAACAAGCTAGGGCAGATTAGGAAACACTTCAAGGTCCCAAGCTCCCAAATGCAAAAGCCATTTCAAAGTCTAGCCTCTTTGATATAAAGATACACACTAGGGGGTCCAGAAGAGAATGAGTGGCAAGAAAGGAAAAAGGAAATGGTCCCATCTTCAGCTGAGGGGCGGGGCGGGGAATCCAGAATACATTCTCTTAATAGACACTCCTTTAGATATTTTTCTGGGCCACCCTCAGAATCCCAACTGACAGGAGCAGATTTGGACCCAAGACAGTGAGTGGTACCCAAACTCAAATGCTTGCTGAATGAATGAATGAACGAATGAACAAACGAAGACTGGGTCCCGTGTTGCCTTTCCTGAGAAATTAGCCCTGTGTTAGGCCCTGGAGAGCCCAGGACTCCCGGCAGGTGCCCCCGAGGATGGCCAGGACCCCGGTGTCCGCGGTCTGACCTGGCCTGGGTCCTCATGACTTGCAGCGGCAGAGAAGGCCCTTCTGGGCGGCTCCTCGAGGAGCCTTCGCAGGAGTCGCAGGACCTTAATCTGCCGAGGCATCCCAAACTGGGTCGCTAGGGACTCTTCCCAAGCCTCAGTCGGCCGGGATGTGAACAACGAGGGACGAGTTGAGAAGCATAGTCAAAGAGCACAGGCGTGGAGATCAATAGAAACGGAGGGACAGACGCATAAAGTCGGATCCAAAAGAGGGCCAGGTATCAGGGCAGTCCCTGGGTCTCGCCCGAAGGGTGGCGCTGGAGGGGCCGGCGGCAGTGGACGGACCGGGACAGCGATTCCCAGCAAGTTGGGCAGTTGAGGGAGGTGGCTTGCAGCCCCGGGAGGCTCGCGTGCCGGGAACGTCCGGCTGGGCTTACCTAAAGCTCCCGCCAGCGGAAGGGAAGGGACGGTTACCACCTCCTACCATCAGGTGCTACTCGCCGCCCTGACTCTCGCGCAGGCGCAGGACCCAAGGCCTCATAGCCAATTGCAGAAGGTGAGGCGGGCCAAGAAGGCAGCCCCGCCTTCCCGCTCGCGTTTATTCCTCCCGCCGCTTACCAGGTGTAGGGTGGGCGGGGCATGGGGCGTAGAGGCCGGAAGTGGATTTTTCTTAACCCGGAAGGAGAGTTCTTCCCTGGCTGCGGCGTTGATGTTTTACCACTGCCTCTCCTCCTGCCGCTGAGAGAATCGTCGCGGAAGGATGGTGTGCGAAAAATGTGAGTTAAGGAGACTCTTCTGTGGGAGAAGGAGGCTGGGAGAAACTAACTGGAGTTCTGCTAGAACTTTGCCCTTTCTTTGTTTTTCCTTCCGACACAGGTCTCTGATTCTACCCGGTCTGCCCTTTGACAGTCCCCGCCTCTCCCCAGCGACCGTATAGCCTTTTATTTGTTGCATTCAGGGTGGTCTCAGTTTTGCACCGCTTATTTCTGTTGCTTCCTCTCAACCCCGGGTCTCGTGCCATACAACTTGCCTGGCAGCCTCGCGTCACAGACCCTCAGGGTTGGAATGGATCTTAAAAGTAACTTCCACAGCGTCTGGAGTTGCTAGATTTAGCAAATAAAAGTGGGACGCCCAGTTAAATTTGAATTTCAGGTAAACAGCGAGTGATTTTTAGTTTAAGTATGTCCCACCCAGTATTTGAGACTTGACCCTGTTTGCTGCCCCTTTCTACTGTAAGTACTTTGTCCCAAACAAAGCACGCACTTTTAGGACATTTTTTACTAAAAAATATTCATTCAAATTTAATGAAATTTAAATTTGTCTAGTGTCCTATTTTATCCAACAAACCTAAGTCAGTATCCCATCCAATGGCTTAAAAGCCCTTTGCATAAATACCTAGAGTGTTGAGGCAGAGGGATAGAAGAATCTCACCACCTGAGAAGCTGTCTTTGTAAATTTCACTGGCTCTTCGAAAAGTCTTTCCTCTTTATGGTTGCCATCCACTGATTCTGATGCCAACCCTTGATATTTCCAGAAAATATCTTATGATTGTTTTGACCTAACAACACTGGTTGTATGTTTTAAAAGCGCTGTCATATCCCTCAAATCCCTTTTCCAAACGCTAAACATGTCTGGCCCTTCTGTGACAAAGTTTCCATTCCTCTTATCCTGACTATTGTCTAATTAACATGGTCCATTTTGTTTATATCCCCGTAATATAAAACTTTGAACATAGACACTCATGAGTTTGAGTCACAGTTTTTATATTAAGTGAAAGAATGACCATGGATGGTTATTTTTAATAAATTCTCAGGATGCAGATAATAATTTGAAATTTCTATATTTGGAACCTGGCATTCAAGACGACCCTCCACGATGAGGCCTCAGCTTATTTTTTTAACTTCATTTTCACTAACCCTACCTTCATTACTCTTCAGCCAAACCTAACTATTTTGCCTGCCAGTAGGTATCCTGAGTTTTCCATGCATTTCCCCAGGATGTGTCCTTTATTTAGTCTACCTTGATCCTTTTTTCTTCTCTTTCTTCACAGTCCAGTTGCCACAAACCCTCTCTGTTGCCTTCCCCACAGAGCTTTCCTGGATTTCCCTAAGCCAAGGTTATTTCTTCCTCCATGGAATTTCTCCTAGTACTCCAGCTCTCAGTTGTCATACTGTTTTCTTTCCATCTTATATGTTAGTTGAATAATTTGTAACTTTTTTTTTTTGGTTCTCTGAACCCTCTGAGAATGTGATGAAAGCTGTAGACTTAACAAAGTCTATTTTTTAAAAAAATGGATATACAAAAGTTTTGTGTACGGGTTCATCTTGTTCACATTTCTCCTAAGGTCCACCTGTGAAACTCAGGTTAAGGACTACTATTAGAGAAATCAGAGTGCTATAAAATCCTTGAAATCCAGAGCTTTATCTAATTCATTGTTTTCTTTGTACTTTGTATAATGGCTTATATATCAAGGATGCTTAGTAAATATTTATGGAACAAACAGATTTATCAGATATGTTTAAAGTATACATGTACAGAGGAAGCCTATTATAAGCCATTACCATTATCTACAGATTTTACTGAGAGTCAGTTATCCATTGCCCACAGTTAGTAGCTTAAGTCTCAGTTCACTGACCCCAGCTGCAGCATTAACAGTAATATGACTGTAGTGACCATTGTGAACTTTAGGCACAAGGCAACGTATTTCTTAAATAGTAAACATTAACCCCCCTTACCTTTACTGTTTTGTTATAACAGGTGAAAAGAAACTTGGTACTGTCATCACTCCAGATACATGGAAAGATGGTGCAAGGAATACTACAGGTATTTTTCCTTTTAGAACATAGAAATTGAATCAGATACTTCCTGTGAATAATGTTTTTAGCTTTTATATTTATTTGTAAAATGAAATGTTATGTGTACAACCTATTTCATCTATTAAACGTTGAAGAATACTAGATCCTCCAACAATTTAAAATCTTCTAGTTTTCTCACTGGTTCCTAATTTGGTAGGAGAATGAAATAATTAAATGACTTTTAAGCAATGAGTATTTCATAGTAATTTATTTGATTCAGCTTAATTAGAGTTAGGATTTAAGTCCCCCCTCTCCTCACCTGATTTTTATATTCTTGAACAAATCATTTAAATGTTTCACCTTCATAATCATTAAATACAGTGAAGATGTTTGCAAAGGGAAGAAAAAGGAACATTTTCACTGTATGTATGCATTTTCAATGGCACCAAAGTGGTAGTATCTAGATTTTACATTAGATAGATTAAGTATAGACCCATTCCTAAAGTCCTACTTTGAGTCTGAGAAATAAAATGATTACCTTTTATCCAGATTTTTATTGTTTTCCTAATAAATAATTGTTTTCTTTTTAAGTAGTATCTTTAAAACATGGCTATTATATAAGGATTTCTTAAAATTTGATATAGGCTAGTGTATTGATAGGAGGTCAAAAATGAACTTTCTAACTAATCATTAAATTTACATGTATATGTTATATATGAAATGTGTAGAAATAACTTGCTAAAATAATGTATATTTTAATGCAGAAAGTGGTGGAAGAAAGCTGAATGAAAATAAAGCTTTGACCTCAAAAAAAGCAAGGTAGGTGTAAGAGCATCTATAGAGCAGTCATATAAATTTCCACTCTTTTTAATATTAAATGTATTAGAATGAATTTGTTTTGCATTATTCTCTTGTGATAAAAAAATAGAGTTAGGTAGTTCCTAGCATGCATAACCAAACTGTTATAACCTGCTGGTTTCACCCTTTTCCTTTTCACTGTATCAGTATATGAAGATATTAGTACTTTTTATAGTTTCACCAGAAAACATGACTTATTTTTTTCTAGTTCTTAATTTTCCTACCAATCAGAGTCAACAGCGAAATGTGGACAGATCATGAATTCTGGAGTCATACCTAAATTTGAATCTAGACTTTGTTACTGTCTAGTTCTGTAGTCTTAACCAAGTTAAACCAGTTCCTTAACTTTTCTAAACATTACTTTTTCATTGAGGAATGAGGATAAAGATGTATCCCACCTTAAAAACAGCTTTTGACACCATGCTTTAGTATATCCAGTCTTAAAAATTTCGTGAACCCTTCCAGCTGCCATCTCATTCCCTTGCTTTCTTTTACAGCAGAAGTTTTCAAAAACCTTATCTATATAGTAATTTCTCCATGTCCTTAAGTTCCGTTCACTCCTTCAGCCACTCCAGTCAGGCCTTCATCTCTACCACACTCCTAAGCCTGCTCTTGCCAAGATCACATGTGACCTTAAAAACTGATGGCAACTTCTCTGTTCTTACCTAACTTAACCTTTCAACAACTCTCTCTTTTTTGCAATCCTTTGTTCTCTTGGCTTTAGATCCCTCACTCTCCTTTATTCCCAACCCATTGGCTGTTCCTTCTCAATTGAGTGCCTCTGGACTCAATCCTAGACTTTTTTTCCTGTAATCTCTCCTCAAGTGACTTAATCCAAAGGCTTTAAAGTCAAACTGTATGTTAATGACTTCCAGATGTATAGCTCCAGTCCCGGCTTTTCTGAACTCCAAACAAATATCCAGTTGCCTACTTGAATTTTCCAATTTGATGTCTAACAGGCAATCTCCTTTTCCTTCAGTCCAATCATAGTTTTCTCATCATTGCTCTCTGGTCCAGTCTAGCTGTACAAACCTAAAAACTGGAATTCCTCACTGATTTCTTCATTTCCCTCACTTCCTATATCCATCAGTGAGTTCTCTGACTCTGCTACTAAAATATAACCTGAATCCATCTGCTTCTGTCCATCTACTGCTATTACTCTCTTCTAAACCACTATTCTTTCTTACTTGGATACTGTAATAACTTTTTATGTCCCTGCTTCCTTTGTGATTCCTGTAGTTCACTCTCATAATAACCAGAGCGGTCCTTTAAAGGGCATGTAACTCCTTTGCTCAAAACCCTTGATTGGTTTTCTTTTTACATTGAATAAAATCCAGGCCCCCTTTACAAGGTCCTCCGTGATCTGGCCCCTTCTGCCTCTCTGACTGTTGCACGAACTCCCGTGTCAGATATGCCAAGCGCACTCACATTGGCAGAGGTTTGTGCTTTCTGGTCCCTCTTCCTAGAACTCATCCCTAAAAGCTCTCATAGCTGGCTCCTCCTTGTTACTTGGGTTCAGCTGAATTGTCATCTCCTCAGAGAGGGTCCCTAACCAACATAAAAACTGATGTCTTTCTTTCTTCCCCTCATGTCTGCCACAGTATCCTCTTTGAATTTTCTCTATAGTGGGTATTACTATCTTAAAAGCATAGTTGTTTCCTCACTTATTGTGTCTCCTCTCACCAGAATGTCAGCTTGATGAGGGCAGAGGCTTTGTCATGTTCATCTTTGAACAGTAGATTCATTTAGAACATTTAGAACAGTAATAGGCACAGAGTAGACACTCAGTATATATTTGCTGAATGAGTACATACCTATTTCATGACATTGTCCCAAAGATTAGAAATAATAATAATAATAAACCTGTTACTATAAAGTGCCTAACACTTAAAGGTGCTTATTAAATAACAGGTATAAAATAGCATAAT